TGGACACGACGTCGTCATCGGGGACGTACGACCGCCTGAACGGCCCGCGCACGCGCTCGTCGTCGTCGCCACCAACCTCGCGCCAGAACACGGTCAGCGGTGAGCGGCCCGACGGCAAAGCTCTCGCGCAGGAGGCCAGCGAGTACCGTGCCGAGATGGAGCGCAAACAGAGGGAGTATCTCGCCAAGCGCCGCCAGGTGGCTGCCATGAAGGACAACCCGTCGCCCGACACGGGCACCGCCGGCGGCTACTACGGCATTGCCGGTCGTAGTGTTGACTTTGACCAGCCGCGCAACTCGCCGTTCGAGGAGAAGAAGCCTGACCAGCTCTTCCCCGCCCGCAAGCCGCCCGCCCCGCCGAGCGACCCCTCGGCGACCCTCATCAAGGCCAACTCGCTGAGCAAGAAAACGGGCCACCAGCTGCGCACGTCGACGGGGTCCGACGCCTACCACCACGCCCGCAGGCCGTCGACGCTAGTCGAGGAGGGGCCCGGCGCGCACGAAATGTCCGAAAAGGGGAAGAAGAAGCCACCGAGCCCCGCCATGGGCGGCATCGGCGCGGCGCTGGCGTCCATGGGACGCGGCCTCGGCGCCATCGGCGCCAACGGCCGGTCGCTCGCGTCGCCGAACCGCGCCGACGGCAGCAGCAGCAACAAATCTGCAGAGCGAGGTAAGGGAGCCATGTCCTCGGTCAACTTTGGCCAATCCGGGTCGGGTCGAAGCAGTCCGCGCGCGTCGTCGGCCTCACCGGGCTCCCTGACCTGGAGTCGCGGCAACATGCCCTTCGTCGTGCCGGACTATTCGCCCGGCGGGACGCCTCTGAACAACCTCCAGACTGAGTATGGACTTGGAGCTAAAGCGCCTCACGCAGCATCAGCCGCCCAAGGACGCCTGCCGTCCCTCGACCACGTCAGCCCGAGCTCGACGCCTGTGCCCGATGCCTCTTCGGTGCACCGACGCAAGTCGCATGGACCAGACTTTGACTTTGAAGACACGGACGTCAACACGTGGGCGCCCGCGCCCAAGGCACCGCCCGCCGCAGCGGCGGATGACGATTCCGGGGACGATTCGGACGATGGGCTCTTTGCGATTCCGATTGCCAAGAAGCAGGCGGCTGCGGCGGCGACGCGTGTGTTTGACGGGGGTGACGGTTCAGATGACGCCATGTCGAGGAGGCCGACCCTGACGGTGAACACGAGGGCCAAGAAGGGTCTATCCGTGGCCTTTACGTCACCCAAGTCTCTGGGCAGCGCAGGTGCGGGCCGTCACGGAGACGAGGAGGACGAGCTGCCGAGCGCACGAAGCGGGCGCAGTTCGAAACGCACGCCCAACACGCCAGCGAGCGACAGCTGGGGTTCAGAGGACGGTAAGCTCAGCAGGCGCAAGTCATTCGTTGAGAAGGACGTGTGGGCGAACCGTCCGACGGCCGAGGCGCTCATCAACAACCTCGACGACTTCTTCCCGAACCTGGATCTCGATCTCCCCGTTCTCGAGGAGGGCGCTGCAGGCGCCGCCGGCAGTAGTAGCGAAGACGCGTCTCTACCGTCGCCCGGTAGCGAGGTGGGACGTAACCTGGGTCACAACCCGAACCAGAACCAGCACCAGAACCAGAGGGCGCGAGCTGGTTCGCAAAACACGCAGGCGCCGCCCAACATACCGGCGGCACTGCCGTCTTCACGCGTTTCGTCCATCTACAACGAAAACGACACGCTGGGTTCGGACGAATCGACGCTCAAGGCGCTCGAGAGGCCGGCGTCGACCGTCTCAAGCGTTGCGCAGAGGAGCATGCGGCGCTCGGGCGGCCTCGGACGAATGAAGTCGATCCGTGAGGTCGCGCGCGGCGCGCACGAGGCGAACAAGCGCTACACAACCACGTCGCAGGCGAGCACGGGCGGCGGGCTCGACAGCTCGGCGCTGATGCGTCGCAAGAGCACCAAAATGTTCAACGCCAACATTGTGCAGATCCGGCCGGACCAGCGGGGCAGCGTGGCCATGCCGCAGATTCCGCAGGACACGCTGCCGAAGCGGCAGACGACGTTCCGGTGGTTCAAGGGTCAGCTCATCGGCAAGGGCACCTATGGACGTGTGTACCTCGGCATGAACGCCACGACGGGTGAGTTCCTCGCTGTCAAGGAGGTCGAGGTCAATCCCAAGGCGGCGGGCGGCGACAAGAACAAGATGAAGGAGCTCGTGGCCGCGCTAGACCAGGAGATCGAGACGATGCAGCACCTGGATCACGACAACATTGTGCAGTACCTGGGCTGCGAGCGCAAGGAAACATCCATCAGCATCTTCCTCGAGTACATTTCCGGTGGCAGCATCGGATCGTGTCTGCGGAAGCACGGCAGTTTCGGCGAGTCGGTCGTGTCCTCGCTGACAGGGCAGATCCTCAACGGCCTGGCGTACCTGCACCGTGAGGGCATTCTGCACCGCGATCTGAAGGCAGACAACATCCTTCTCGACCTTGATGGCACGTGCAAGATTTCGGATTTTGGCATTTCTAAGAAGACGGACAACATCTACGGTAACGACAAGAGCAACAACATGCAGGGGTCAGTTTTCTGGATGGCGCCTGAGGTGATCCGTTCCGAGGGAACGGGATACTCGGCCAAGGTAGACATTTGGAGTCTGGGCTGTGTAGTGCTCGAAATGTTTGCCGGTCGCAGGCCATGGAGCAAGGAGGAAGCCGTAGGCGCCATTTACAAGATCGCCAACGGCGAGACGCCGCCCATCCCGGACGAGGTCAGGGAGACGATCAGCCCGCTGGCCATTGCGTTCATGCTGGACTGCTTTACTGTGTGAGTTTTGCCTTTTTTGGTCACCTCGAACCATGTGCTGACAATGTGGCCAGGAACCCCCACGAGAGGCCTACGGCAGATGTGCTGCTCTCGCAGCATCCCTTCTGCGAGCTGGATCCAGGATACAACTTTTTCGACACGGAGCTGTACGCGAAGATTCGGGGCAAGGAGTTTTGAGATGGTGCTGGGCTGCGAGCGGGTCTGGTGCCAGGATTTGGGTGCGACTGAGGGATTCAGCGCGGCGTTTAGAGGCGATGAGTTGTTACCAATGGTTGCTGGGATATGGGCTGTCTGCTTGTCAAGGATGGATGTACATGATAGAGGTCATCCCACCGTGGTTGATATGGTGTCCAACTGTAGGATATATGACATGATCGATCCCGATCCTCTGCCTCATGATGCATTCGCATGAATATATGGTGATGTCTGACGATTCTCGATGAAGGTTCACACCATTGTATTGGCAAGCGACGTTTAAGTTTTTATTGTCGTTGCATCTGAGCAAGGGGACGTGCCGCGTTGTCACACGAGAAGTGCCGGATCGATGGTGACAGCCCGCTGTCGTAGGGCCGCGCAGGGCGTAGCTGGCGGGCCGTGTGGCCTCCAGTACGCTCCAGTTCAGTCAGCGTCCACTTACCCCGCAAAGACGAAAAAAAGGGGGAGGAGCCAGAAAGGGGGGAGCCCATGTCGGAGAGCTGGGATGGTCTACATGTAGCTCGGTTAGCGGGTCGGGGTCAGGGCGGCGGGGAGGGAGCTTTGGGCGTTGGGATTTCCGGGTTCCGCTTCTTGTTTTGTCTCGCCCAGGTATGGTGTCTCGGCGGGATATGGAGGAAGAGAAGAAGAATGGTGGTCTCTCAGGAGAGAAGCGTCCGGCAGGCGTGTTGTTCTCATTCGGGAGGGGGGCGGGCTGTTGATGATTCCATGACCCTTTGCGAGAATGCGATCCATCTTCTTGCGGCTGTGCCTGGAGTGTTGTGTATTCCTCAGGGTGGACAAGAGGCAGATTGGTCACGAGATGCACCGGCGAGGCACATGCCTAGGAAGGTACATGTTCAGTCCCTTAGTGCCTAGTAGCTGGCTACTTCACTTACCTAGGTAGGTAGGCGTGGCGTGGCGTGGTATATGCAGATGAAATGGGGCAGGAAGCACTGGCGGCCCAGGCCAGCTAGCGTGGCGGAGAAGCTGAGGCAGGCAAGCAGGGGCATCTGCTGAGGTGGCTACCTACCTAGTAGGTAATAACAGATAAAATTCACAGACTAAACTACATCGGGAGGCTAGTGGCCTCTCTCGGAGCCTAGGCATTTGTAGGTAGGTCGGTCGCATCGCTCAACCGTGTACGCCTGAGGTAACCTTACCTCGCTTTAGCTACCTTACCAACCTTAAGATCGCCTTACCTGTCTAGGTAGGGTGGTCAATGGACTGCCTTTGACGCAGTGCAACACAAATTGAACTTTCTAAATTGGCCTCCATATCCAATAGCAGCAGTAGGAGGCAAAGCGTCACAGACAATTGGGTAAAACGGAACATGGAGCCACAGACGAGAAGAGACACGGGCAGAAACAGAAATACATGCGACTCGACCAGGCGCTTGGCATGACCTCGTGTGCCGGATCGGAAGGAAAAGTCAATCTTGGCACGTCGGTGACGGTGGACTGGGCCAAGCTCGCCAGGCCATTGTCGCTGTTCCTCAGGTGTCTCAACCCCTGGGAATAACGACTGCGGTAACCAACGGCTCCCCCACCTTCTCCCCTTGGACTTTTTTAGGGGCCGGGTCAAGGTCCAGCACGGTCCAGGCAAGGATGGAGGCCACAGGCTCAGGGTCTGATCGACCACTTCGCATCTGGGCAGGGTCGATCAAGCCGTCCCCATTCCTTCCCGCTCGTCGGTCGCCCTTTCCCGCGCCCGATGCTCTGGCTTTTTGGCTTTTGGCTTTTTGCATCTGGCATCTTCCTCCTGCTCTTCGCTTCTTGCATCTCACTCTCCTTGCGCGCAATCCTTCTCATTGTTTGAAGAGTCCATTGCAAGCTCAGCATGACTGCGCAGTAGATCTCGCCTTGTCATTCTGCCGCTCATCACGACCTCCGTCTCTGGCACCCCAGAGACCAGCGGAGCTCTCGACTCCGTCCGCCCACAGTGACGATCCCTCCTCGCCTCTGCTCTCCCTCGCCTGTTCGTCTCCCCGCCACGCCAGATCTCCGTCACCATGGTCCGCCGGCGAAGTCGCGTCGTGCTCCTCGTCGCCGTCGCCATCGTCTTCCTCCTCTACCGTGTCTTCCAGAACTCCGACTGGGACCCCGCGCGAGCGCCCACGTCTCCCAAGACCAACATCCCCGCCGGCCACAGCCACCCAGTTGAGCACCCCTTCGAGGACGAGCACGAGCAAAACCCCATCCCGCCCGCCGCCGCCGCTGATCAGAAGGCCGACTCGAAACCTGCTGTTATTCCTGATGCCGACACGAACCCTCTCTTGACCCCCAGCGCCGGTGATGTTGCTGCTGTCCCCGAGCCCGACCCCAAGCCTGTTGGTCTCGCTTCGCCGCCTGCTGATGACCCTCCTCGCGATGATCCCTTCAGGGACACGACCAAGACCGGCCCTGCTCTTCCTGAACCCGACACTGGCAAGCCCGAGAAGTCTGACCAGGTTCTCCACCCTGAAGACATTCGCATCCAGAAGCCTCCCAGCCGTCAGCCTCAGGTCACCGATGCCACCGATGCCGCCAAGACACAGATCCATTGGCACAAGCAAACCGAGCACTTCCCCGTGCCTACCGAGTCCATTATCCCTCTGCCCACCGGCAAGCCCAAGCCGTTCCCCAAGATCCAGCATGTCTTCACGCCCGAGACCGAGGCGGCTGCCGTCAAGGAAACGCGCCAGAAACGCCTCGCGCTCGTCAAGGCCGAAGCCAAGCGCTCCTGGGATGGATACCGCAAATTTGCCTGGACTCACGACGAGCTGTCGCCCGTGAGCGAGCGCTTCCGCGACCCCTTCTGCGGATGGGCTGCCACCTTGGTTGACGCCCTCGACACGCTGTGGATCATGGGTCTGAAGGACGAGTTCAAAGAAGCCGCCGAGGCCGTTGCCGATATTGACTTTACCTACAGCGACAAGCGCCGTGACATACCCGTGTTCGAGACCATTATTCGCTACCTCGGTGGTCTGCTGGCCGCGTACGACGTGAGCGGCGGTCACGATGGCGACTACCCTGTCTTGCTCAACAAGGCGACAGAGCTCGCCGAGATCCTCATGGGCGTCTTCGACACGCCCAACCGCATGCCAATCCTGTACTACAATTGGATGCCTGACTTTGCCTCGCAGCCTCATCGCGCTGGCTCAGGCAGCATTGCTGAGATTGCGTCCATGTCGATGGAGTTCACGCGTCTGGCGCAGCTGACGGGGAACAATAAGTATTATGATGCCATTGCGCGCGTGACCAATGCTCTGAGGGACCTCCAAGAGCGTGGCACATCCATCCCTGGCATCTTCCCCGAAAACCTGGACATATCGGGCTGCAACAAGACGGCTACGGCCGCGCGCAATGCACTTGCCGAGGAGAAGGCCGAAATGAGAGCCAAGGAGGAGGCTGCCAAGCTGCATCAACCCCAAGGCTACGTTCCGGGACAGGACGGCGTCACTGCCACTGACCCTGCGGCGGAGCCAGAGGATGATGATGGGTCCGCTCTGCCCAAGGTCGTCGCCCCGGCCGCGATCAAGCCTGCGGATGACGCCCCGCCTGCTGAGAAAGAATCTGCCGCGGGGAGCCAAACAGCTGCCGATGAAGAACTTGCAGTGGGCGACGTTCCGGCTTCCAAATGGTCGAAGCCTGCTGGCGGAACGCCCAACGCCCCTGAGGACCCAGCTGTAGCTCGCCGTGCCCTCCGAGTGGATACCGCTGGCGATGTCCAGGCAGAACTCGATCCCAACCAGAAGGGAAAGAACTTCCTGACGCCCGACGACTTGCCATCCTACCCCGGCTCGACCACCGGAGACGAGCGATCGCAGGCGCCTATCGCCGCTGACGGCAAGTTCGCCAGCTGGGACTGTATTGAACAGGGTATTGTGCCCAGTGGTTACGGTTACGAACAGTACAGTATGGGTGGCAGCCAGGATTCGGCGTACGAGTACTTCCCGAAAGAGGACCTTTTGCTTGGCGGCCTGGCCCCCGAGTACAAGGACCTGCACATCGGCACAGTCGAGGCTGTCAGAAAACAACTGCTCTACCGCGCCATGGCTCCCGAGGATAGAGACGTGCTCTTCTCGGCCAAAATCGTGACGTCGGGTGACATTGCCAATGACGCCCGGTACGAGTACGAGGTCACGCATCTGACATGTTTCCTCGGCGGTATGTTCGGGCTCGGCGCTCAGATGTACGACCGTCCTGAGGATCTTGAGATCGCCAAGAAGCTGACAGACGGTTGCGTCTGGGCTTACGAGTCGATGCCGTCCGGCATCATGCCCGAAGGGTCAAATGTCGTTCCCTGCGCCTCGATGGAGAGCTGCCCATACAACGAGACCCTTTGGTGGCAGTATCTCGACCCATCGGCAGAGTACCGTGACAACAGCGTCAAGGAATGGGAGGAAAAGCAGGCGCAGAAGAAAATCAAGCAGGCCGCAAAGCCTGCCGAGGACGACGAACAGGGTCAGCTGCGGGCTCAGCAGGAGGAGCGCAGAAAGGCCGAAGCCGCTGCGGCCGTCCTAGACGAGCCCCCGATGGCACCTGCTCCTGGAATTGAGGCCGGGGCGACCAAGGAGATGTTCAACGACGACACGCCTCGCAGGCCTATGCCTGTCGATGATGAAGTGATGATCCAGCCGAATTTTGACGACGAGGTGAAGCTCCCCGACTTTGATGACATCAAAGTTCCTGAGGTTGAGGCACCTGTGGTCGAGGCGCCCGTGGTCAATATTCCTGTAGAGGAAGTGCCTGTGGCGCCAGCTGGAGATGCCCATGAAGAACATATCCACGCCAAGAGGGCACCTCCCCCCGTGGAGGACCCGAGCAACCCAGGCACAATAGACACGCTGGAACCCAAGCAAGTTCCCCCTACAGACAACACGCAGAATGTTGCGGGTGGCGTCATTGGGCAAATACCCATCGACGACACTACGGCCCTCACGCCCCCGGCAGCACCAGCGACAATCCCGGAGCTGCCAGACCCCAAGCCTATGAACCATGAGGAGTTCGTCAAGAACCGCATCGAGACGGAGCGCATTCCGCCCGGCTTCTCAGCCATCAACCACCGCCACTACATCCTACGGTACGTTTGACTCATTGCTACCCGACGCGAGTTTATTACTGACAGCCGCAGCCCCGAGGCCATCGAGTCTGTCTGGTACATGTATCGCATTACCGGCGATCCTATCTGGCAGGAAAAGGGCTGGCGTATGTTCGAGGCCGTTGTCAAGGCCACGGCCACGTCCATCGGCAACAGCGCCATCGAGGATGTGACATCGACGCAGCCGACCAAGACCGACGAGATGGAGAGTTTTTGGCTTGCTGAGACACTCAAGTACTTCTACCTGCTGTTCGCGGATACCGATGTCATCAGTCTTGATGACTGGGTGTTGAACACGGAGGCCCATCCCTTCCGGAGGCCCAAGGAGTAGGGTCAAATAATGTAGGGTCGTGGGGGAGTAACGATGCATGGGTGGCGTTTGGTGTTGGGACGGGGTGCATAGCCTCTGTTGAATTCAATGTTTCCGCCTCTGACTTGCTACTTGGTTGCGGTGCTTAGTTATGTCTGGCATGCCGAGCCTAGGTGTGGTGTTGAGTAGAGGTCATCAGTCTGCAGGTCTCCCAGATTGTGTATCGTACATCGCCGTTGGTCGAAGTCGTAGCGGTCAGTTGTTCGCGATCGGTCGCCATGCTTCTGGTCAAAAAGGGGACGGGTGTTAATCGCAGCACCAATTTGCGATGGACGCCATTATTGTACGCCACGGATTCAGGCGATCAAGTCATGGCGAGACTCCTGCTTGATCGGGGGGCTCAAATCGATGCCAGAGCTTACATGGGCAAAACGTCACTGTGGGTTGCCACGTTTGGAGGTGCAGAAGATATGGTAAGACTTCTGATCGAACAAGGCGCAAATGCCACTCTAAGTCACAAGTATCCGGGTAGCCTGGTCGAACTAGCTCAAAGCAGAGGGACTTCCACTATTTGGAAGATGCTTCTCGCGGCTTGCGAGCGTTCCTGAGGGAACTTACGAAGAGCCCAGCCAGTGGTCCTCCACATATATCGCGGTTACTGGCTTTCGGCTGGGGCATCACCATGTCTCTTGTCGGCATTTGCGATGAGAGAAGCTCAGTAGACAGCATGGTGCGAGGTCATTGCCCGCCACCACCATCGTCTTTTCTCGTAGTTATAATTCAGCTTTCATATTTGCCTCCATATCTCAATCACGTCGTCTTGTCATGTGACACCTTGATCATGGGCTGATACAATTTCCGCTGCCACCGATACCACAGCCCTGTCGTGAGAAGAGTAACCGGGATAGCAAAAGCCCAGTATATCCAAATCCTATTCGAAACGCTCCACTCTCCAGTATCGTCATCGACATTGAAAAACGACATGCTGAAAACAGCAGAGATGAACGTGGCGGGAAGGAAAGCCAGCGTCAGGAACGAGATGGTCTTCATCGCGGCACTGTCCGACTGCGCGGCCCGGGCAATCTCGACGCCGGTGCGCGAATCGTGCTGCGCGACCGTGTGGAACGCGAGCTGCATCTCATTGGCGAGCCTCTCCTTGTTAGAGGAGGAGCGGCAGCGGAGGCTCTCGAACATGTGCTTGAAGAACTCGAGCCGCTGGTGGACGTGCCTGTGCGTGAACCTGGCGCGACGGTCCGCGGCGGCGGCGGCCGGCGCCTCGTCGGCCAAGACGGCGTGGTGGGCCAGGGTGCTCTCCATGGACACGGCGCCGAGGTCGAGCGTCTCGCAAATGTGAATGGCGTGGCGCGCGAGGTCGTGCAGCCTCTGGTAGTCCGGCGACGGGGTCTCCTTTGTGCGCTCCTTTTCCAGGTCGCGCACGTAGGTCCGGAGCGACCAGACGGCGTCGTTCTGGACGCGGACGACCTCCTCGGCGAGGCAGAGGTGGATCAGAAAGGGGTCCCGGAGGAGTTCTTTCGTGACTGGATCAAGGAGCGGTCTCGGTAATCTTTGTTCGAGCTCTTTCGGCGCATCAAAGACGAGGACGACGGTCTGGTTCTGGTTGGCCGACCACCTGACGACGACATTGATCTTGTACCATGAATGGTGAATCTTCTCCTTGCCGGCGAGTTGCTTGACGAGATACCGCGACCATGTTGCTGCTATTGTCAGCAAACCCCCCTGCTTCCTTCTGAAGCGAAGCACGTACTGACTGTGGCGATGTTTCCCTTGTCATCGCCCGTGGTATCGCAGCCAAAGTATCCGTTCGACCGCTTGCTGTAATCAGACCACCAAAGCTCGGGAATCAGAAACGCTTTCGTAAAGGCACGCCTGCACAGGTGGCAGGAACGGGTCTTATCGGCATTGGCTTGGCTGTGTATGCATCAGCAGCAGTTCCCAGGCCGTCAGAAAGGGAGAGGAGAGCTGCTCAGTGCGCACATCACCACCAGGGGAGAGCGCGGGAGTGCTCGTTGTGCCTCGCCGTCCTCCGCTGCAGCAGACAACGTGGAGGGGCTCAGCAATTGTTTCTGCCATGGGCAGCCTGGTACATGTCAGCCGTTGGAAGAACTACTCGTTGGAGCTGAGTCGAGCCTCACCCTCTTCCCAGGCCAGAACTTGCAGGCTGCGGCAGTCGTGCTTCTCATTGTCCATCATTATTGCGTCGCGAAGCAGTCACAGGAAGGGCTCATTTCATGCTTTCGAATTTCGGACATTGCAAGGCTCGAGAGGAGTAAGATTGCCACGAGAACCACGAGAACCACGATGAGAGGTCGTCTTGTCGAGGCTGTGCACTGAATTGAGGCCGCGTCGCTGGGGGGCCACGGCGCCTATTCCGCCAGTGAGAAGGAAGGTTGTATCACATCCATGCTCTCGTGGGGCAAAATCATGAAACCCTCACGTTGCACCAAGTTGGTGAGGGTAGCGGTTTTGGGGGAAAATGCAGATTTCATTCTTATTCTCATCTCGTTCCACACTTTCGTGAATCAGATCACATATACTCCTACAGTCGTTTCAATTCCCAAGCCTCCCCCCAATTCCCAAATGTCCCCGAATCCGTCGAGGCTGCGCATGATGATCATCGCGGCCGCAAGATACCGATAGTGAAAGGGGCGCTGAAGTGACCCCATACATGCGTGTCGTTCCACGGCCGAAGCCTCTCTATCAAAGTCGCGCAAGGGGGGTGGGGTTGGTGATGATTATGCACGTTTTCCCATGCTTTCCAAATAAAAAAAAAAGACAAAAGCAAGCCCAAGTTCCCAAAAAACGCCTGTCCCGATGCTGGCCTTTTGAACCCATTCCTCGGTTGCCCATGTACATCATTTTCCGTGTCTGCCTGGCGCGGCGGAGCACCCAGCTTAGTCCACCATCTGGCTCAGCACGCGGATCGAGAGGATCATGACGAGCAGGCCGATGGTGACGATGATGAGTTGTGCAAAGCTGAACCAGCCGAGCACCATGGCGCTCGTGCCGACGGCTGACCGGACGGCTCCGTTGCCAAAGTCTTGCGCTATAATCGAGGCGGCGACTGACGCGGTGTGCTGCCACAGGACGGAGACGAGTACAAAGATGGAGGCGATGAAGATGATGGCCAGAGAGATTTGCGAGACGGGACGGGACGGGAAGGGCTTGACTTCGCGGTCGGAACCCTCCGAGTCCTCCTCTTCGTGCCAGCCGGGGAAGGTGGCGAGAAGGAGGAAACAGATGAAGGCGAAGATGATGGCGATGATGCTGCAGAGGGTATTAGATGGAGGACTGGGGAGAGAACAAGAGCGGATCGCTTACATCAGGTAGGGGAACACCACCATGTCCTTGAACTCGCTAGCGAGCCAGATGAGGTTCAGCGGATCTTGGTCAACCGAGACCTCGTTGGCGAGAGACGTCGCATTGTTACTACACAGCCAACTGCCACCATCGGGCGAGATGCAGATGCCAAAGTAGCCGACACGGGTGGCGAGGCGCGCGTCACCAGCAATGTTGCTGATGGCGGTATGAACGTTGTAGTCGACCTGCGCCGTGTCGGGGCGGGCCTCGTAGTTCTCGTAGTAAATGGTCAGGAGGAAGATGTCAGGGATGAGCGGCGAGGAGGATGAGCAGCCCGCGAGAAGAAGCGCTGGAATCACCGTTAGCTGGTGACGTTTGGTCATCGAGGCGGGGTTGTACGTACAAAGCATGATGATGGCGATGGCTATCAAGATCATCAACACGTGGTGGTAACCGAGAAACGGTATGAACCCTGGGAAGAATGCGTCAGTCAGCCGGTTCGCAGAGGTGAGGAATGCCTGGCTCTCGCGTGGCAGAAGTAGGACACAACGTACGGTACCATCCCACTTGGAATTTGGCCATGGCGGCGGTTTACGTGAACGCGCGGCTCGAGGAGGACCCCCCTTCTTTCCCTGATCGCTGAGCCCTCTCCCCGTTCTCCGTTCTGCGGAGCAACGGTCGGGTCTGGGTTGCGCGCAGTGCTGGCAGGACACTCAACTCGACGGCGAGATGAGCTCGACGATGGGGGAGGGTTTGCCGATGGAGCACGAAGCACGATTCGTGGGGACGAAGCGATCTGGAATGCGGGTATCTCGTGTCGTCTTTCGTGGACTGGAAAGGTTTGGTGTGGAAGAACGGGGCCGCGAGGAATTCGGAACGGCTCGGATCGACCTAGATGTGCGGGCGAAAGAATAGACTTGTCAGACCAAAAGAATGCACCGGTCCTTGGGGCTCTGGAATGATGGGATCTTTCTTTGTTCGGCTCTGGTATGGAGGAAGGAAGAGAGGGTTTGGAATGGTGAAGTGAGGGTCGAGGGGGTGGGAGGGTGTGACTTAGTTTTGCGTGGGCTTTCTGACAAGGCGAGCTCGAGCACGGCTTGCGCGGGATGGCAGTGTTGAGTAGGATGATGTATGCTAGTGGGCAAGAATCAAGATGGCTGGAGAAGAGGGTGGCACGTCTATGAGGTATCGGCGGATCGACATACGTGGTGCGTGATGGTAGCTAGGCCAACCTCCTGTATTTACTTTGCTCCGGCTGTGGTTGGCCTGGAGACGGGGGGTAAAGGTGGGGCGCCATCCGGGCTGTGACGTGGGATGGCCAGCGCGTTTCACTACGGGAGATCCACTGGTACCTGAGTGCTCTCGATTTGGCAGGGGTCTCGCTGCGCGGTTGGGGTTAGGCTGAGGGCACCTTGGGGCACCAGGCTCGGGGCAACAGGCTTGGGGCACAAGGCTGCCGCAAAGTGGTTGCGTTAGTGACCGGCAGGCCCGCGTGCCTGCATGCTCCCAATTCCGCTGGTCTCCACATCCGCGCCTACCGTTGGACCCTACCTAGGTTCCTACCTACACAGGTACCTTACCTCAGGTAGGTGCTTACCAAAGGTACTTACCCAACGTATGTAGGCCCAGGTATAGCGAAAATGCTTTCCTGCCCCTCCATCAACAGCACCCCTGGGCGCCCACTAGCCCTGGCCGAGAACATCAGAGGAACCATCATCCATGGCCTGTTAAGCTTAATTCCCAGAATTCCTTGCTTTCTCCCCTCAAACGCCCGGACGCCTGGCATCGATGACCAACCCATCCCGGCCGGGGGGTTCGGGGCTTCGTCGAATCGAGCATCATCGCCACTCGCTTCAGTCGTCACGACAACAAGCAGGATGCTGCCACCTTCCCTTCGTGTCTACCTACCCTACGTACAGCTCTGGCAACCAAGCAGTCGTCGGCAGCCATTGGACTTTCAGCTGCTGCCTAGCACTTGGCTGCAGGCGCGCAGGATGGTCGAGATTGGAGGAACACCCGTCGTCCATCTGCCTGCTGTGCCCATTGGCGACATTCACCTTCCCCCCCCCACCCCCGGTTCGAATTTACCAACAAATCAGTGAAACAAGACTACCTTTGCATCAAGCTGCCCTACAAGTATGCAATCTCGGTAGAGTCGAGGCTCGCTCTCAGTTCCGTGCTTATCCTGTCCTCATTCAACACGCCAGTGTGGTATTCTACTCAATACAGGCGTCAAAAGGGGCCTTGGGAGGTTAGTGCTTGCCATCGACAAAGTCGACCTCTATAACAATGGGAACTTGGTGATTCTCAAGAGTTACTCCGCATCACTGGTCTGCCGAAGCGATTCGGAACACAGCCATGGCCGATGGTTCGAGGAAGATATTCGACAGTTTTCAAGTGCCGATATGCCCAGAAAGTACGCAACACTGCAAAAGCATCCCTTGGCGGCTTCAGGAGTAGCGCATTGTTGTACACGACTGGTAATTTAGCCGACAGCCGTTGTGATGCGCGTGATTGAGTGGCTCGAAGATTCAAGGACATCGATGACCCGATCAAATGCCATTAAAATAGGCGAGTCCTTGTACATGTCATGTTACTATGCATTGGCATAGGGTCCGGAAGTCTGTGCTGCCGTTACATGATCTTCACGATATGCCCGAAATATGCTTTCGTCGAGATTGAACTTGTGCATTGTCGACATATCATCGAGTCCTCACTTGAAGGGTCCATCACTGCTGGGGGAAGCCTGGTCACCCTTTACGGTACTGAAGCATGAGCTTGTAAGGCTTGGGAGATTGTAGGCCATGATGAAACTGGCTGCACACTGGTCTATATACCTGATGAGAATATGCAAGATGATTCGTCGCCTTAGATTCGCAGCAGCAGCCTTTAAAGAGGAGCTTTCCTCGGCCGGAAGAAACGACACACTTAGAGGTTGACCTGTAGCACTATGGACGCTGGCCTGGCAGGTTGCGGGGAATAGGGCAGTAGAATATGAGTCATGTTAAGACCCCTGCCTTCAACAATCATCCGAACTGGTGTATCGGTTAACATTTGTCGCTTTCATTCGAGAGTACCGACAGGCGCGGGGTTCGATTCCCCGGTTCGGAATCTTTTTACTTTTTAACCCATCGTCCTACGGCTGAATTGTTTGCGCCCAAGTCTAAGGCTTTTACAAATTCAATTCTTTTATGGCAGTTGGAGATCTGCAATGCCCTTTGAGCCAGACTTTTGCCGTGTTGTGTGTGAAGCGTACGATGCGTTCCTCGGGCTGAGGAGGACTGGTGAACCCTGCCAACCTTCCCAGCCGACTCAAGATAAGTCAGATCTGTCTGAAGTAAACACTTATATCAGCTGAATGGATCAGTTGTTCATAGCCTGGCAGACTGGTAAATCTCAGCCAAGCAGTATCCATCTCATGGCAGGGAACACCCGTTTCAGCATCCTTTCTCCTGACGTCACTTCCTTTTGGAACCCGCATTCCTTTTGATTTTGTGAATCTTTTGCTTCATCGACTATTACAACAGTAATGACATTCAAAGACTTTGTGCTCATGATGTTATCATAACCTTACCTGTTTCAATACTGACGAGCCCGGATGATGAGGTAATCAATGTAAGGCGACCTTGTGGCAGGTTACTTACACGGGTTGGTCCTGATCTCCCCTGGCGGCCTGTCATTCTTATTGATAACCAGTCGCGACTTACACACCTACATACCTACTCAGGTACATAACAGACATCAGCTTGCGGAGAATCCATACAATGAGTAGGCAAACTCGGGAAGTGGTGCCTGCCCTGTGGCAAGGAAAATAATGAGCAAAATCGGATTCTCTCACCTCGCTGTCTTTGACGACGCCAACCGTCGTCTGCGAACCAGATATTTTGTCAACACGTCTTCCTCGACCACAGCCTCTACCTGACTTGGCACACACTCATTACGCACCCAAGCTGCAACACCGTCAATGAATATCGGATCTCCTCCCTTCATAATGTGGTCAGGACCCTCGACTCCACAGACGTTTGACTCCTTCGGCGCAGCCACCGGGCTTGCTTTGCACGAATCCATGCAGAACAATCAAAGCACGACCAGCCACTCGAGAGCACACATCTTCCGACAATACGTCGTCCCTGTGATCCTCTGCCTTGGCGTCATCAGCACGATGGTACACAACATCTAGGCAATGGTGGAGGGCATCGGCAGACCGGGTAGTGGGGGGTGCTGCTGCAATTGTTCGGCGCCGACATGAAGGAGCATGCCGGCTGGCGCATCGCGAATACAGCATTCAAAGAACGAGGCATCACCCGGATACCAAGCTGGGATCAATCGCAAGACTTACGTGGGGAGATGCACGTCCTTGGATACACAGTGGAGCAGTCGACAATACTTAATCAGTATCCTTCGGTTCCCGTGTCTACACCTTCGAGGATCGTTGTGAAGTAATTGATGAAAGACGACAACTTTGTTGCTTGCCATGTGTGTTGATATTCGTCGTCCCCAGGCCTGGTTCGAGAGGCCACGCCCGGCTGCGGATCAATGGGAGACCCGCCTTTCCCCACCTGGCAGTCAAACCACCATCGTCATCCCTCCACGTCAAGCTTTAGCTACAGCACAGCACACACACCCACGCACATACACATGCCGACGCACTCACCCGAGGCCCAGCAAGCATGGCCGCGTCAATAGAGCAACAAACCCCGAAGGGGGCGCAAGGGCTCGACATTCGTGTTGAAGACTACCTCGACGACAAGCTCCAATCCACTACCGACTTAGAGAGCCTCGAAACCCTGCTGGCCAATGTCGAAACCCAGCGCAGCCAGCTTCAGGCGCAGCTCGACAACGCTGTCAAGCAGCTCGATGAAGCTCGCTTCACGTCCCGCGACCGCCAGACATCCCTCGAGACACGCATTCAAGACTTTCAGGAGCTTCAGCACAGCATCGACATCCGCGTCAAGGTCGCCGCCGCATCGGATGCACCCAACCAGGCGATCGCCCGCCTGCAGGAGCCCATGAAGAAGCTGCGCACCGTCGAGCTTGCGCAAAAATACCTCGTCCTCCTGCAAGAGGTCGATTCCCTTCGCAAGGAGGCTCGGTCGCATCTGCCAGAAAGCCCAAAGGCGGCGCTCGAGCCGTATGCGCAGCTCAAGCAGCTGTCGGTACGCCTGGCCGAGCTGTCTGGCATCGCAGACGACGCGGCAGTGCACCTTGTCAATTACGTCGAGACGGTCACCGAGACACTGTGGGACGAGATGAAGAAGACCATGTCGGCTGAGCTGGATGCCATCCTGACGCAGAGGTCCTGGCCGATGGGCGTGGATCCCAGTGCTGAGATGGATGACGAGTGGCTGCAGTGCTTTGAAAAGTTGATCGACCTCCAGATCCCCGAGGTCGTGTACAGCACGGAAACTGTGACGTTGCTGCCCTTTGACGTCATGTGCAAGATGTTCATCTCCGAGTTCCGATACCACTTTATGAGTGACAAGCCGACAAGCAAGCCTGAGGCTCTGGGAACGCACTGCTTCCCGTGGTTCCTGGCGACGATTGAGAAGTGGGAGGATTTCTTCCGGGACAACCTGGGCCACATGCTTGCCGCCAAGCTGAAGGACACACCGGCGGCAAACAACACAGTCTACATCGACCCGGTGTGCGCCTTTGTCACGACAATGCTACCTGTTCTTCGGGAAAAGGTTCACACTGTTGTGGCCGACGCTGTCAACGTGCCTACCTTCCTGAGCAGCCTGATAGGCCAACTCATGACGTTTGATGACAACATTCGCGCCAGGTTCAGCTATGACGGAGGCAACTCGGAGGACGGATGGGCTGGTTTGACCACCGAGGTCCTTGACAAGTATTTCGAGCCCTGGTTCGTGGCAGAGAAGGAATTTGCATTGGAGCGATTCCAGGCCATCATGGCTGCGCCAGATGCCCGAAATATCGACTACGACTACACAGGCAGCGGAAAGACGAAACCGACCTACGGCGCGACCCGCGTCACTGATCTGTTGCGATCCATTACCGCGCAGTACGAGCGGGCCAGGAACTTCAAGCACAAGATGCGCTTCCTCATCGGCATACAGCTCGACATCCTCGACGACTTTCACGATCGGCTCAGGGGGTCTCTTGAAGCCTATCAATCCATCACATCCACCGTGGGCAGGACGCTGCATGGCGTGACCAAGGAGCAGCTGGCGGCGCTGGAGGGAACGGGAGCTCTCGAGACCTTGTGCAAGGTGTACGGCAGCTCCGACCATGTTGTCAACACGCTGAAGGACTGGAGCAACGAGGACTTTTTCGTCACGTTGTGGGACGAACTCCAGACGCGGGCGAAACCCGGCAACGAGTCTCCTGAGATTGCTGGCGAGATGAGCTATGAGGAGGTCAAGGACCGAACCTCAACTGCCGTCGGATCGGACAACGGAGACGGCATCTTGTTCGATGAAACGATAGCCGCCTATGCGTTGAGGAGAAAGGCAGCGCAGGACTTCCTCGTCGGGGCGTTGTCCAAGTCTCACAATGATGCCCTCAAAGCATACTCGACGAAGGTGCAATGGACGACAATCAGCGATAGTGGCGCCGAGGGTAGGTCACCTGCCACGAGCACCAAGAGCGAAGACTGACCTTTTGCCAGTGGATCCCTTCCAGCTTGCCATCACAGCCGAGCTCGACGAACCCCTTCGTGTACGTGCCAGAGGCTACTACTACTATGTGCTTGGCTCTTGCTGACAGCCTCAGATTCTTCGTCAAAACCTCGACTTCCTCGTCAAAGCTCTCAGCACAGCCGCGTTCCGACGCACTTGGCGCGCAGCCCTCGATAAACTGCAGGACTTCCTCTGGGGTGAGGTGCTCATGCGGCAGACGTTCACAGCGCTCGGCGCGGCGCAGTTCCTGCGGGACCTCAACGCCATCCTGTCGCTCGTCGACCGGTACATCCCGAACGGCGTGGGCCCGCTGGGCAGCCTGCACGACGCGCTGCGACTGCTCAACCTGCCGGTCGAGGCGCAGTCTGCCGGCGGCGTGTCGCTCAAGGTGGCGACTGACCGCATCTTCACAGACAATACCGAGGCGAAGAAGATGCTGGAGGCGCTCGAGATTGACTCGCTGACGCCTGCGAACGCGAGACACATCTTGCAGCGGCGGCTGGAGACAAACGAGTAACAGTGTCCGCTTGTTGGTCAAAAAGAAATAAAATCTGCCATCAATGTTGAATATGTACGCTCGCCATCTGTCTCTACTGTGTGACAGCCCTCTGGACGTGACTGCGTCCGTCTTTCTCTAAAAGAACATGTTAAACGCCCGTGTGATGATTCTTCTTCTTCCACCTTATCTCTGCCCTGCCATCGCTGGCTCCTTCCCTCCGCCTTCAGGGTCGTGGCGACACCGGCCTAGTTGATCAGCCGCATCGTCAGCTCGACCGTCGCAAACGTCGCGGCGCTCACAGGCATGGCCCTCAGCAGCGTGGGGGCGATGCCCTTCCAGAACCCGCGCAGGCCCTCGGCGCGGTACGTCTGGGCGAAGCAGTCGCGCATGGTCTTGTACTGTTGCGCGGCGCCGAAGCCGTCGGTCTGCATCTTGCTCTTGACGACGTCAAAGGGGTAGCTGCCGAGCCAGAGGGCCTCGCCGGCGAGGCCGCCGTACAGGGCGACCTTCCAGCTGGGCACGTCCTTGCGGGCGATGGCGTGGCGGGCGGCGTCGGCGTTCATCATGTACTCGAAGGCGAGGAACCACATGCCGTAGGCCTGGGCCTCGCGCAGCAGGGTGACGGCCTGGCCGCGGTAGAGGCCGCGCAGGACGCCGCCGTGGGCGGCCAGGGCGCGGACGCAGGCGAGGGGCCCCGCGTAGAGGCGGCCGGCGCCGTGGGGCTGGGTCTGCAGGCGGATGCGGACGTGCTCGATGGGGCCGGAGAGGGGCGCGTTGGCGAGGCCGGCGAAGGCGCCGGCGGCGTAGTACTGGGCGTACGACAGCGGGTGGCCGGCGTTGCGCGCCTCGAGGTAGCGGCGCGCCTGGTGGAAGGCGCCGAACTGGATCGACACGCAGGCGCCGATGCCGATGAGCGGCGTCAGCGTGCCCTTGTAGAAGGCGAGCGCGCCCTCGTTCCGGTAGATGGCCGTCGCCGCCTCGAGGGCCGACGTGTGCACCGTCGACGTCTGCAGGCGGACCTTGACTATGTCGAAGGGCTGGCCGACGAGCACCTGGGTGATGCCGCCGGCGGCGCCGGAGAAGAGATCCTTGGCCGTCTGCAGAGCACCGCCCTGTGGCTCGGGCGCCTGGTGCAGCTCGACGTCGTTCGCGGCCGTCGCCATTGTCGCTTCGTTCGTGGTCTGGGTCGATTCGATCAAGGCGAGTGCTCGGAGCTGGCGAACCCCTCCCCGACGTTGCTTGGGCGGGCGGTCAGAGGTCGTCGAAAGCGAGACGCACGGGGGCCGGGGAAAAGTCCCGGGCGATTGTCCGCTGGTCGGAAAGCTGCAGAAGGATCGGGAAGCAGAGGGAGGAGCTCAATTGACGTCGACGTGTCACGATTGGTCTTTTTTTTTTGTCGGGTTATGGGTGTTGGTGGAAGATGTGAATCAAGTGGCCGGGATCGGGGGAGGGTCCCTTATCTTTTGGAGCACCACAACTGTGGTTACCTTCGGTGTTGGCCCATGGTGGGGTTTGCGATCCACGAAGACTATTGCGTGCTGGCGCTAGCCTTCTGGGCGCAGGGAGCCCAGGGAGCCCAGAGAGCTTTCTCGACAACATGTCTCGCTCCCACTTCATCGACGGCAGATCAGTGTATTGACATGTGCTCTATGGGAGCTGCGGTCCTCGGACAAGGGGGAATCGTGGGATTGTGGGATCATCCTAAATGAACAGCTTCAATACCGCCGGACCCCCTTCTTCTCGCCCGCCGCCTGCTCCTGGGCCTCGGCATGCATCGCGATGGCCTCCTTGAGCTTCCCAATGACCTCTGGCTGGTTGCTGAACGCCGTCTGCAGAACCTCCTCGAGCTCCTTCTCGACCTTGCCAATGGGCTTGACGCCAGCCTTCCTCGCCTTGGCGTCCATGGTGAGGCCACCCCACCGTTGCGTGAATGCCACGATCGACTGCCTCAGAAGCTCGTCGAGCTGCTCGTTCATGTCCTCCACCGTCAGCGACCCAGCCGTGACCGCGGGCGGCGCCGCCTTGGCCGACGACCAGAAGGAAGAGCCCACAGACCCAACGCCGCCAATGATGCTGCCGAAGAAGCTGACCCAGTTCTGCGGGCTGAGCGTGTTCCAGATCTGGCCAAAGTGCTGGAGCGCGGCGCCGTCGCCGCGAATGTCGCCAATCTCGAGCGAGAGCAATTCGTTCTTGATGATGAGGAGATTCTTGATCATGAAGAGGTCGGCGTCGGTCCCGTTCTTGATGTACCTGATGCGCGCCTCGGCCCGCTGCAGCACCTTGACGGATTCACGGACAATATTGAACACGACGCGGTTGTTCTTTTGCTGCGACATGTTAGCGTCTCCTCGAGCGATGCAACCAACATGATACGTACACTGCGCTCCTTGGGCATCGTCTGGTCATACATGGCCAGAAGCCCCATGGCTTTGGTGACGGGGGCGTAGGCGTTGGACGCCGACACGCCGTCCACGACGGGCTTGATCTTCAGTCCCTCGTCGTCGAGCGCCATCTTTGTGATGGTCTTGGTCGTCTCGGCATTGAACATGTCGTCGGTGAAGACCCAGAGATGTTCCGTCAGGACCCTGGCGCTCAGCTCCCTGCACTGTTGGGAGAACGGCGACTCCTCCTCGTCGTAGTCCAGGACGAGATACTCGTTCATCAGCCAGGCCACAATGTTGCACACCGTGCGCAGCTCTTCCGTCTTGAGCGCGGCGCATAGGTGGGCGGAGAGGATCGCTATGTTGGCCGGGTTCACGGCACCCTTCGAGGCGGACTTGAGAGCCTGGTACGCGGACGCGGGATCAGAGCTCCACTGCAGGTCCAAGCCAAAGATTCGGTGTACGAGGCTGTTCTCGTTGTACGCCCTCTCAAACGTCTGCTTAAGGTAGTTTCGGCATCCCGTCTCCACCGAGAGGTCCTTTCGCTCCCTCGCGAATTCGGCCACGTCTTTGTCCGTCATTGGCTTCAAATCGTCGTTGCGAACTGCCAGGTATGTCGAGAACAGGTTGTTCGCCGTGTTGACGTAAATGTCGTGCGCCGTGCCGGAGATTGGCTGCCCGTACTCATCAAAGACGTTGCGCATGACCTTGTGGATGTTGGGCAGCAGAGAATAGGTGTCGGCGATCATTTCGGCAAAGCGGCCGTACGCAAGAGCATGGCGGGTGGCCTCGGACTTGGACGCCGCGATGGGTTTGGCGATTTCGTCGGAGATGTTCTTGAGCCGGTTGCTGAGACCGACCTCGAGCAGATGGAGTGCTTTCGTCAGCTGGGATTCGTATCGTGCGAGGTAGGAGTCGGCGTCGCGATATGTAGGCTATTTTGTTTGTCATGTCAGCATGCTGGTGCGTGGGGGATCCTGTGTGACCTACGTGTTTGGTCATAAAGTCGATGCATGCGTTGAGATTGTCCAGGACCTCGCCGAACACCACGTCCTCGACCAAGCGACCGGCGCCAGGCGCGTTGAGCCTCCGCGTGACATTGTCCAGGTACGTGTAGAAGTACAGATCGGTGCCGACCTCGTCTGCGAGCTCTTGGAGACGCTTCTGCTCATCGATGAGGTCCTCGCACTGCGACTGGAACGAGGTGGTCTGGGTCTCGACCGCCTGGAATGAATTGGAGAGCGTCGTCAGGAGGTCGAGGGACGCGTTGGTGTCGACAATGAGGGCCTCGAGGTGGCGCTCGGTCAGATCCAGCTGGTCTTTGTAGATGCTTTCAGAATGATTAGCCGGGCTTCTATGGGAGGGGCGGACGGGGTTGGCCCCATACAGGTACTCATGCTGGCTGGCCTGCAGCAGCTCGTCATTGTACTGATCGAGAACAGGCCGTCGCGGAACGGGGATGTTGTCGACATTGGCTGCGATCATCAGTGCCTCGAGGCTCTTGTCTTTCCTCCTCTTGCGGTCCTCCCTCTTCTTGTGCGCATCCTTGGCGAGCTGGGCGCGAACGACGTGGTAAAAGTCGGAGTAGGATTTGGCACGGCGAGCCAGCACCGGCTCTGGCGGGTCATCGTCGTCTTCGGGGTCTTCGAGGAGCCGGCTCAGCGGCTCTGGAGCTTCCGAGGGCTGTATCGTTCCCTGGGAGGACTGTTCAGAACGGGCAGTGTCGTGGTGAGCGGGAGGGGGGGGGGGAGACAAACGTTGGGCTGCTGGAGGAGGGACTCCTTGCGCCGGTGGCCGGCATTCTTGACGGTCGAGGCAGCAGTCTTGGCGACCTCGGGCACAAAGCTGTACCAAGAGTCGTCGTACATGTTGGCAGGTTCTGCGGCGCAAACTAGACGAAGTGCAAGGCGATGCGGTCCGGGTCGGTCATCACCTGCTTCGCCCGTCGTCGTTCTATCGGACCAGGTGTTCTTGTCGTGTCGGATCGTCCACTGTTGGTGGGGCGCTTGGGGCGTTGAATCAGTGGGTGGTCCCCTGAGAGACCCGACGGTTCCCCATTGGACTGACAGCTCGAAAAATGGAGCATCCCGCTGTGGGGAAGCAGCTTGGGGCCTTGCAGGGATTCTAGTCGCGCGGGATTGGAGGCACGCGTCGGTCTTTCTTAGGCTGGCGAAAGAGAGAGCAGCTTTCTCGGATGACCTCACGACATTTTAGCCAAGAGGGGGTATGTATGCCTTCACCCAGCTCTATCGTCCTTGCCGTTACACACACACACACACACACACACACACACACTCACACACTCACACATACAAACACCAGAAAACTGGCATCCATTGTGAGGAGGTCCATCATCGAGAAATCGACTCTTCATTCGGCTGCCACATTGCCAATCGTCGTCGAACAGCATGAGGGCCTACAGAAGCACCCTCCCAGCTCTGCGAGCAACAGGGAGACCAGTCACACGGAAACCGCAAACATGGGCTCGTCACGCCAGCAACCGCTCTCGCCCCGATTCCCAGGACGGAGGCGGCGGGAAGAGACTGGCTGGATTCCTGGCCATCTTTGCTCTGGGCGCCGGCGCTGGTGCCGCCTACTACTATCCCGTCCTGTTCCCCGGCACCGACGCCGAAGCAGTCAAGCCTGTCATCCCCAAGGCGCAGATCAAGTTTGAGAAGGAGCGGCAGCAGGCTACCTCCAAGGAGCACAACCGGGACATCATCAGCTCGCAGCACGCGCAGGTTCGCCAAAGCTGGGAGAACCCTGGCGTGTATGCGTGGGGCTCCAACGCGGGCAAGGTCGTCGACCAGCAGTCGAAGGAGACCTACGTCAAGCTCCCCAGGAGGATTTCTTACTTTGACGGGAAGCTTCTGCGGGACGTCAAGCTGACGCAAAACTTTGGCGTCGCCGTCACCGAGGAGGGCAACCTCGTGCAATGGGGCCTCGGCTTTTCCCAAGTCGACCCCAGCCCCGCGGAGACGCTCAAGGGCAAGAACCTCACCAAGATCGCCGTCTCGGACGATCGAATCCTCGCTCTGGCCTCCAATGGCGCAGTCTATGCCGTACCGGCCTCGCTCGGCGACCAAGATACCGCTGAGAAGGCGCAAGCCCGGGCGCAGCAGTCGTCGTCCTCCTCGTCCTCCTGGTTTCCTTTTTGGAGCTCGGGCGCAAGCGTCCTCGAGCCCAGCACCATTCGAACCCTGACACCGAGCGGCCTCGCCCGCGGCGAGAAGGTCGTTGACATCAGCAGCGGTCTGCAGCACGGTCTGCTCCTGACCTCCAAGGGCAGGGTCTTCTCCTTCGCGTCGAGCTTGTCTGGATTCCCGTCCGTCGGACAGATGGGAGTGCCCGGTCTCAGCTGGGCGACACGTCCTGAAGGCGCCTTTGACCAGCCGCACGAGATTTTCGGCCTCAAGGGCTTCGAGGTTGTCAAGATTGCCACGGGCGACAACCACTCGGTCGCGCTCGACAAGGACGGCAAGGTATTTACGTTTGGCGACAACACATTCGGCCAGCTGGGTCTCCAGTCCGAGTCCGGGTTCAAGAGCATCGACGTGCCCTCTCTCATCCCCGTGCCGCGTCTCTACGCGAACACGGGCCTCGTCCCGAGGGTGACGTCGATTGCCGCCGGCGGACTCAACTCGTTCTTCACCGTCGACGCCACGCCGCCGGCGTTCACGGGCGACCGCAAGACGGCACGCACGACAGCCGACACGTGGGCCTGCGGCAGCGGCATCCTCGGCACGCTGGGCACGGGCAAGTGGACGCACGTGTCGTCGAACCCGGTCAAGATCAAGAACCTGTCGGGGCTCAGCGAGTACGACGAAGCCAACCACCAGGTGGTGCCGATCCGGCTGGCGGACATCACGGTGGGCAGCACGCACGCGGCGGCGACCATGGCCAACGTGACGTACACGGGCACGACGGCGCGGGGGTCGGAGAACGACACCAACTGGGGCGCCGACGTTGTCTTCTGGGGCGGCAACGAGCACTACCAGCTGGGCACGGGCAAGCGGTCGAACGTCAACGCGCCGACGTACATCCAGCCGCTCGACGGCGGGGCCACGGGCGATTTCCACCGGTTCCAGCTGACGCCGCGCAAGACGGTCAGGCTCGGCGAGGACGGCAAGGGACGCAAGGCCAGCCTCGAGCAAAGGGTGGAGTGCGGGCGCATGGTGACGGCCGTGTACTCGGCGGCGTAAGGTTCTGGCTACGGGGGGTTTTTTTTTTTTTCCTATGGGCGTGACCCGTGTGTACCATGTATTCCAATTCCATGTACGATAGACGCTGTTAGGCTTTGGCGCACGGCACGGTACTGCGTGTGCCTTTGGGTATGCCCTTGTCAGGAGACAGACAGGCAAAGGACGACGAGGAGAGGGTAGGAGGGCTGTTCCACGCGATGGAGTCATTCTTGAACCATATTCTGGGGGGCGCTGTCCAATCAAGCATCTCGACTTTTGCGTCCAGCCCGTGTGAGTGTGTGGCATGTACGTCCACTGGATGTTGGGACCCAGCAGGGATCAAGGTGGCCAGAGGGGAAACGAGTACAAGTACTACTTGGACGCGTGGATGGGGCGAATGTGGGTGAAAAGGGGAAAAGTGTACCTCTGGCGAGTGCAACTGAGGCGAGTGCAACGCAGACGATCGATAGAGGCCACAGTAGGTTCTGTGACGAATGCACGGAAGCGTCTGCATACGACCCTGGGCATGTTTTTTTTTTTTTGCCATGCTGTCGGGCCAAACCATGCTGTCAGATAAAAATAGAGGGCTGACATGCAGCGAGCTGAGAGGCGTCGATCATCGTGGTCTCACGATCCGAAGCGCCTGCATTCAGGTACAAGGCAAGGTACAGGTACAGTAGGTGGTAGGTACCTAAGGTAGGTGCCTAGGCACGCTGCACGCTGCACGCTGCACGCAACGCCTCCTGATGCCCCAGCGCTCACCGCACCCAGGGGGCCACAGTGGCAAGCAGTGCAGGCCTCAGCGATGGCCCCAGCACACAGCGCACCTCACCTCCAGGGGCCAGCGCAGCGTTCCAGGCGCTCGGGACGGTGGTGGCCCGGCTCTTCAGGGGCCTCGTCTAGTGGACCGCCCCTGTGGGATCGCAGGCCACCCTGGCCCTGCCCCCGTGGACACGGACATTGGCATGCCAAGATGACATCGCGCCTAATCTGGGTTTGCTGGCCCGATCCATGTGCCATCTCCGAACGCTGGAGCTGTGTTATTTCCAATCATCCTCCTCCGCCTCTCCGCCTCTCCGCCCCCCATGTCCCTATTTCCCTGCAACAAGTTTTCTACCCCTGGACCTGGACTTCAACCTGGCCACAGAGAGGGACAGAGAGAGAGAGAGAGAGAGAGAGTCCTCGGGGAGCGCGAGGGAGCCAACGACCTGAAAGTGGCGAGATCAGCTTGGATCGACCCCTTCGCAACGCAGCCTCCCATTGAGAGAACGAGAACGAGAACGAGCCTCTCTGACAATCCATCTCCTTTCCCATCCCTGTTTTCTTTCCCCTCTTCCTCTGGGATCAACCTTCACACGCTCGCCGCGTGGCCAACCTCGCCGAAGCATCTCTCACGTCACAGCACGTGCCCCTTGGAGATCCTGTGACACGCCTCGCCAGCCTTTCGAAACTCGGCACTGTTCATTGCGGCCCCCGAGAGCCTTGCGATCGACATTGATTTACATTGTCTGTTTCTCGATCTCGCGTCCACCCGTTCTCGTTCTGTCTGCACGTCCCGACCGAGTCCATCCTTTTGTGTCTCACGCCACTCGAACGACCACCTCCCGCTCAGCCTTGCCGCCGCCGCCGACGACGACGACATCGTAGCCTCCCACGACCCACGTTCCGGCCACCCCAGCAGCCGCACCCATCCGACGCTTACCTGGACTACTCCTCAACCGGGGCGGCGACCCGGCAGCCTCTGCCTCCATCCCACAGCGCCCCTCCAGCATCCCGCGCGCCGCGACCATGGAGATTCCCAAGTTCCGCCGCAAGCCCAAGGCGCCCACCATAGCCACCGATCCCAAGACCCTCACCGTCCCCGACGCCGCCGAACCCTCCCCGACGAGCAACACCATCCCCCTCGCCGTCTCGGCGACGACACCCGGCAAGCAGGGCAGCTTTCGCAAGAGCGCCCTGCGACACCTTCGCTCCTCAGCCAAGCGCGCCCGATCCCCAGCGCCGCCGCCGCCGCCGCCGCCAGCCTCGTCCTCGCCCCCTCCGACCTTGGCTTCGACCCGTGATGGCCTCGCTGACGCCATGCCTGCGTCACCTGTCTCCCTGCGGCACCGCGACGGACTGCTGGCCGACTCGCCCGAGAGGAACAAGCTGAAGATGCCCTCGTTCCTCGACTTGTCACAAGAAGGTACTGCTCCCCTTCCAAAGCGAAATAGGAAACAAAATTGCTTCTCCACGGCAAAGCTGACATGCATGAACCCTCAGGGATCCACTCGAAATTCCAGGACCTCACTTGGACCGAACGCAACCGCCTGCACAATGCCATGGCCCAGGAGGCCGCCACGAATCCCGACTCGACCTACCGATATGCCGTCCATAAGCAGGTCGACATGCGCCGCGGCGTCATGGACCGCTACTGCAACATCAAGCCCTACAACCGCAACCGCGTCCGCCTGCGCGTCCCCGAGGGCACGCTCGACTACGTCAACGCCTCGGCCGTCGTCCTGCCCTCCCCACGCAGAAGCCTGGCGTCGCCTGCCCCGGCCCCGGCCCCGGCCCCGCTGCGCTACATTGCCATGCAGGGGCCCGTCGAGAACTCGGTCGACTCTGTCTGGCGCATGATCGCCGAGCAGTTCGACTCGCCCGTCGTCATTGTCCAGCTGACGACCATGTTCGAGAACGGCACCATCAAGTGCTACCCGTATTTCCCCATGTCCGCCGAGGACGAGCCCTGGATTCTCAACGAGGACGACGGCTGGGAGGACGGCTGGGGCGCCGAGCTGCGCTTCGACTCGATGGAGACGCTCGAGGACGGCGCCATTGAGCTGCGCAAGCTCATCCTGCGCGTCGCGCCCCCGCCGCCCTCTGCCGCCCCCGGTACCGACGCCGACGCCGACGACGCCGACATTGAAGTGACGCAGACGGCCTCGCCGGCGCCCGAGCCCACGGAGCAGGTCATCTGGCACTTTCTCTACACGCGCTGGCCGGACTTTGGCGCCCCCGCCCTCGAGGATCTCGGCAGCTTCCTGACCCTCATGCGCCTCTCGCGCGACTACAACACCGGCAGCAGCACTGTGAGCCTCTCGGACGCAGACTCGACGCTCGCAGCCCCAGCAGCGACTTCCGCCGGCCCGCCTCCGCGCATCATCCACTGCAGCGCCGGCGTGGGTCGCACGGGCACCTTCATCACGCTCGAGCACCTCATGCGCGAGCTCGACGCCGGCCTCCTCGAAGCCTACCCGGCCGCGGGGCCAGACCTCATCCACGCGACGGTCGAGGCCCTCCGCGAGCAGCGGCCCAGCATGGTCCAGGCGCCGCCGCAGTTCCTCTTCCTCTACAGCGTGCTGCGGCGCATGTGGCTCGAGCGGTACGCGCCGGCGCTCGCGGCGGCCGAGGGGGGTGCCGGCGCCAGCACAACGTCGAGAGACTCGACCGACGGCACGGCGTCGACGGCGGGCGACGGCGAGCCGGCGGCTAAGAGGCTGGAGATGGGCGATCCGTTTGTCGATTGACGTGAGGCGCGGGCGCGCGGGAAAGACGGGCGACAAGGGTTGGATATGGATCGGCCTGAGGAGCCCGCGGCGACGACGACGACGACGGCTGGTCTCGCCGTCGACGCTGATGCCCTTTCTCAAGCGCCTGCTGCGCGGAAGGGCTGGAGGGCACGCATGGAGGCACGGAGGGCGGCTCACGCATGAGGACGGCCGGGCTTTGGCGAAGCTGCTCGGTCCTATGGGGTTCAAAGATGAGGGGGCGCATCCTCGCATCCCACCCCCCCTCTCTGTTCACAATTTCTGTAACTCTTCTTCTGTTTTTGCACTCTTTCTTTTTGCTTTTTGCTTTTTGCATTTCACCACGGCGTTTGGACAGGCGGGCTTACACGGGAACGCTGTATTACTACACTACCTGAGCTGTACGGACTATCTTTCCCCCCTCCCCACGAGCGGACGGTAGGCTGATGGGAGGAGGAGGCACAGGGCGGAAGGGGGCGGGCTGTATAATCTTTCAGGGGTGTGAAGCATCATGACATAACAATGTCCAGCATAGGGGCGGCGGTGGTTTTGATAGGAAGGGCATCCTCCCCCCCTTCGGGCAAGGGTGAGCTGAGCTTTTTTGCCCTGTCCCATGGGGTGGTGGTAGTGGTCTGAACGTTTGAACTTGGCACGGGAACCGGACTTGCATACAGATCACAGCGGAAGGAATAACACATGGTTTAACCACGCTCCCTGCAATGACAAGTTGATACCACGGAGGTACCTGGGCGTCGACGCGGGTGACTTTGCACGTGTCGATCGCCGGTAGTGGTTGATGCAGAGCCGAATAGGCGAGAAGTGATTTGAGCCGGGGGTGGCGTCTGTCTTCATGGTCATGGCATCACGGTTGTTTGGCGAGGCGGCGACAGGCAGCTCAGTCCAGTTGGAGCAACATCCAGCCATCCAGCCATCCCGTCCCCCTTTCACGTTCTTCGGCCCGTCTGATGACCGGCTGGGATCCCTGGTGATGGCGCACTTGGCCATGCACACGTGAAGCGAGAGCTACAGTCTTCAGTCCATGTACAGGGTCCTCGTCCGCGTGCCAGGGTGAGACGGACGGCATCAGATTGTCCGGTGGGAGGGGGAAAAATGAAAGAATGGGGAGAACCGGACGAGGGACGAAGCACACACGGCGTGCGTCCGGCCACCGGCCGCCCGGTGGGCAACTGGGCTGTGCGGCTAAAGTCGAGATGGCGTCAGGGGGGGGAGGGACGGTGACAGAAAAGACGCTGATGCTCTGCTGTTATGACGTCTCAGGGGTCTTGCGTTGCAGCCGATACCGGGTGACGAGGCTCGGATGCCTTGCAGCAGCAACAGTGCAAGCGAAACTTTTTTTCCCTCTCTCGATGCATGTGAGGTGCAGTGCATGTCGGTCCTGGCCCTGGCAGGGGTGTGTCGATGATGCGGAGAAGAATCGCGTTCTGCCTAGCTAGTGGTCGCGAGGTTGGCTCTCGCCCGCTCCAGGGCACGAAACAAGGGGACATGGGACGAACGGCTGTCGGGCTTGCATGTGTGGCATGCTTCGCAGCGCACACGCACATACACACACTTCGCGCAGCACATGGTCGCGTCTGGGCACGGCGAGAGAATGGCCGGAGGCTCGAATGGGAAAGTTTTGAGGCCGCGCAGGTTTTCAGTCTCAACCGTTTTTCTTTGGTCTTCCTGTGATGAAATTTTGTCCGCCGCTGCGACGCCTGGCTGGTCTCTCAGGTGCCGGGCCCATGCTGCTCTCTCTCGTATCGGGGCACGCTCTCAACCATGCTTCAGGCCAGCGGTAGCCAGCGACTACTGCAGGGGAACACGTCGTGATGGACAGGGCGTTGGGAGTGATTTCGGTCTATTTCGCCCGCCACGGACCGATTAGCACGGCGTGCTTGAGCAGAGTGACAGGTGATACTCGGCCCATTCTACTCCTTAACACGGGAGGGCATGTGAAAGGCGAAAGGCAAGCCTATACACGTGAAGATGATTGACAAAAGCCGAGCCCAAGGTCACACTGCAGCGTCACTACATGGCGGCGCGCACTGCTGGGAAGAGGCGAAATGTGGAGGGTGTGAGTTTGCGGTGACCGCGGAGCGAGATGAGACGACAGGCCGTCTCGAACTTGAAGCCTAGAGGATGGGCGCATGGGCTGGCTGATTTGTGGCAGGCCTGGTCGGACAGCGATGGCGCTGGAATATCGGCCCAGCGGATGCGTCTCTGGTCAGTGGCTGCAACGGTGCCATGTGCACCTGGTTGTAGACCGGTCCTCGCTTCGGGCCACCGGTCTGCTGTTGCAACTAGTGTCGTCGGAATGTCAAGTGCGTGATCACCGTGGTGTCCTGGTACCTAGGTGGTTGACCCTGGCGGACGCCATTGTCTCGCTGGTACCGAATATGCCCGACATCAGGTCGGGTACTAACTGACTTGGTGACGCGGTTGCATCAGCGATAGAGCTATCCGTGGCATGCCGTCAGCTCTGTATCACCCTGCCGTCGACAGCGGATTCTCTGGAGTCGGCGGCGGCAAAGGGGTGGAAATCATTCATGACTGAACAGCTCATCACTCGTCTCATCTCGCAAATGCCGACTCATGGCTTCCATTTGTGTCTCAGGTCTCCCCAAGACCAAGACCGGGGACGCTCCCCTAGTGTCATTGAGCAGGTTGACAGAGCCAAAAACAAGTCTCGGTTGAGGGGACTGCCGCAGCTAGTCAAGTCGAACATCCGTCGGTGCGTGACGATGCGATGATGGCAATGATGGAGTCAACTACCTTGTTCCATGACACGCCGGGTGGTTTCCACCCGAACAGGCCAGAAGAAGGCATTCCTCGTCTGGCGGTGAAGGCAGCTTGCTGCAGCAAAAGACCCCGTATCCTTGGCCCTAGCGGACGAGGTACCTAGCAGCCAATACTGACTACCCGACGATCTTCGTGTCGCATTCGTTCGAGTCGTGGATGGTAAATTGGCAGGAGATGAAAGAGACGATTTGGGTCTGACCTGATGCGGTGGATGATGGGTACCGAGAGACCAGGGGTCCCACGGGGACGATTCCATGCCCACACGCAGCCTAGCGTGCTTGCCGCTGAACGAGGTCCCGGCGATAGGAGATGGTGTTGTTTTCATGCACTTCGGCGTCCTGGCGTTCCAAACGGCTGGGAGGCTACCGCTACACCAACATATGTACTCTCTCGAACGGCCACGCTGTCTCTCGTGGCATCGGTGACTGCCATCTCGTCATTTCGCGGGGTGAGCAGCACGATGATTTGTGAGAGAACCAGATTTGACATGTAAGCCAGAGCAGTATCATGATTTTGCACGGCCTACGCATCATACTAGAACCATGATCCAAGATCTTCTTCCAGTCAATTCTCCACCCTCTGGCATTGACGAAAGTGTTGGATGAGGAGCTTGTTTGCGTGGGACGCTCTCTTGAGAAGCCACTTCTTGCTCCGCCAACCACTGGGACTTTACTTCGCACACTGCAACCCCCGTCAGCACGGGTGCACAGAGGAATTGCCCTTGTCGCACTCACGCATTCGGCGTAGCAGGTCCAGAGGAGGGTCAGCTTCGTAAGCAGGAGCTTTTCAGATATAGTTGATGTTACGGAAACCCATTCATACTTCACCCAATTTTCGACAAGTTTGACCCTGCCGATTCCATGAGCACGGGACATATTCGTCTTCAAGATCCGTGGATGCGAGAGACTGACGGCTCAACCGACTAGCTCATGGCCACTCGGCCGAAAGCCAGTGGCCAATACCAGGCGGCGATCGAACAGGTCCGGATCAGCGTTATCAGCAGTGCCGGTGGACGCACCAACACCTCACATCTGTCCTTCGTCTACCCAAGGAACAGTGAAAAGTGCAACTCGGTCTGGATAGTTGCACATGCCGAAAGTCCAGGCTGCCTAATCTAAAAGCGTGGCAGGCGGTGTTGGTAGGAATCCAGAGGTTTCATGCGACCTGGCAGAAACGCAGGGCCAATTTAGTAGCCTGACTTATGTGACATGGGCGTCGTTAGCATACGCACAAAGTGAAGTACTTTCCTTTCCTCATGCCCGAGTGAGGAGCACATATCAAGTCTATCAGCCTTCTCTAGGAAACGCGCAAAGTGGTACACTTCTTTTCCAGTCACCCATCGGGTCAGCTCAGTGGGCGAGGTTGTCGCATCCATCGAGTTCAAAACGGGGGCTGACCTGCGGCATCATTTGCCAAGCCAACGGCATCTGGTCCAGTAGTGGAGCAGGAGTGTGTAACTAAGCCGTAGATTCGAGGAGCCATTGCGGGAGACGCTGCTAAGCGGTCCCAAAGACTAAAGCGGCGCAAGCACAAATTGATGGCGTGCTGGGCTTCGACTGGGGTTCTAGCCCCCTGTACCCAGCTCGGGCCAGAGCCCGGGCGCAGGGCGTGCGTGTGCAGGAAGAGGAGAGGATGTGGCTCCCTCGGCGTGGGGACCGCGAAATGGAAGGTTAGAAGCATTCTGGAATGGGTGGGCCGACGAACGAGCGAGCTTCAGCGACCTGCTTGGCGGCACCAGTCAGCGGGCAGGGATAGGGAAACCCCGCGACGATCAGGGGAGGTTTTTTGGTTGGGATCTCGGGTCATCATCTATGCTCACCTAGGCTCCGTGTTCTTGTCCTGCCTGACAACTGACAGAGTAAAAGGCCCATAGACAGGCCTGGCCACAGGGAGGAAGCCCGGGTAGTTGGGTCCTAACGAGTCAATCGTTCAGCGACCGACGCGCATGCCCTCGATGCTGAAGCCTAGAAGGCGATGAAGCCATCGTGTGTCACTGAGCATTTTCTCCTGCGCAATAGTATCAAGGTGGAGCCTGAAAGAGGAAGATCGTGAACAGGGTGTCAGCGACTGGAACAACAAAACAGACAGACGCCCTGGACCCTGACATGTTTGACCGAGCGGACTGAGCCCGCCGTCGCCGGACCCTTCACGGGCTGTCCGGCACCATCGATCTGTGAGCCTAGCAGCGACCCTAGCAGCGC